ATGACAAATCATAACAAATGTGAAATAAGAAAATTAAAAGGAAAAAAATTGTCAAATATTTGTTTAAATATACTGCGTCCTGTTTTTTTATTGAATTCTAGGAGATCTAACATCATCCATAATAATAATATACTATTACTTCTTTCTCTCCGTCTAAAGTCTCGTAAAATAATCCTTTACAAATTGCCCTCGCCTATACTTTAGCTCGAATGACTTTTGGTCCATCTCAATTGTCATTCAAGCCATTGTAGGATACCTCAAACGTTGTATCAAGATTTCTTTATGTAGGCAAAGTATAGGTCGTCTCTTATTCATACACGAAGTGAATATTGGGCTTGCACCAAAAATCCACAATGTACATTATACATAGTGAAATTTCTTTGAAAAATCCTGAGTAATGACTAGGATTCGCATGACTCATTGTTGTGACTTTCTTTAGCTTCTCATTTAGGGTCGTTTAATTGGGCTTCATATAAGCTTTGTTTTGGGCTTCAACTTGGTTTGATCCAAACCTTATTCGATGATTGTGCTCTAATTCTATAACCTAACACCTAAAATCATATCATGAGACATTTTCTTAAAACTTCATGGGTCCATTTTGAGAAGGATACCTATATATTCAAAATACTAAACCTAAAAATTATCTACAACGCACTCATATTCAATTCCTAAAAATAGTCTTTTACTACGTAAAATTTTCTCACGTCAAACCAGTTTATACACATCTCGAAAATGAGATAACACGTGCAATATTTGAAGCGCTACAAACTTCCGCAAGTAAATTCAAAATTTTTTGAATTTACCTCAAAAAGAAGCAAGTTTGGATTAGATTTGAGAGTGTAGATAAGTGTAGGTAAGAAGGGGTGAGTTAAAACAATAGGCTTGTGATCCAATGCAAAAAGGCAAAAAGAAAAGTGAACTCTCCCCTTCTTCACATGCATCTTGTGCCTTCCCTTTCCCACCTCTCCCCTCCCCTTTTCCTTTTACTGATGGGAGAAAACTACACCCATCCATAAAAGTTTCTCACTCTTCAACCCCTCCCACGTGTCCTCCTCTCATTCGTGTCATCGCTTTTCGGTTCCTCCAAAACTTATCAAATAAGAGAAGGAAAGAATGTAGATGGTAATTTTACATTGTTAAACCTTAAATTATATCGCCAAAGCGAGTATAGTTCAGCAGTAATTGGAACGTTACAGCTTTTAAATCTGCATCTAATGGTTATTAGAAACATTCACTTATATTATGGCAGTTACATTTAATAATTTTTCCTTATTCGTCTCTGTGTATAAACAAATATTTCATTTTTAAATTCAAAGTTGAATCTTTATTAAGAAATTAGGTTATATATATATTAAATTTTTATTTAATAAAACGTGACGAATGCATATAATCCCTTTAACCACCTGAATTTATCGATAAAGATTAAATAAGTAAATTGTTAGTTTTATCAAAACTATCCCTCTTGATCAACTTTTATATGAAGTCATAATCATAACTATAATCTTAAATGCTCAACCACAATTTATTTTGATAATTTAGTAACAAATTGTCGATAAAAATGATGTAATTGTGACAATTGGGTTGCTTTAAGACGATGACGTAAATTTGAAAGAAATTTGAATCCCGATTTGGAAAATGACATGGATTTAAAAAAGGAAAATGCTGATTTAACTAAATTAATATGATATTACGAAGGATAATATTATATAATGCCACTTATTTATTTAAATCTAATAAGCTTTTTTCCTTTACAGTTCAAAAATTTAAAGCGGGGGTTCCAAATTTCCAAATAGTCAAACTCTTACCACCGCTGCAATTTTCATCCAAATTTTCCATTTTTACCGGAAAAAATAAATAAATTTCAAGCTCTCGCTTATTTACCAATTTGATCATTTTTATCTTAATAAAGAGTTGTCAAATGGAGCGGTTGGTATTTAACAGCAATTAAATAGAGGTTGTGAGTTTGATCCTTATCCTACATGTTACCAGAAAAAAGTCTAAAAATCTTAATTATTTTTATTCTACAAACTTTCAACTTATAATTATTTTGGTCTAATGATAATCACCTCAATCATTGTACGTAATTCAAATACGTACTTTCGTGTTTATATATCAACCTTAATTTATAAATTCAAAGTCACGATATCTACGTCAATTTGAATCTAACTCAACTGATTTAGATATCTATCTTCAATTAATAGATCTTGAGTTGAATTTCAATCCTATATATTGTATTAAAAAAAAATCATCATATCCACTTCAAAAATTCAAAAGCGTAGCTAAAACAATAAAATTTAATATCAAAATGAAAAAAAAAAACTACTTTTTTTGTCGCCACTCGCTTACACGTGCTTTCGTCAACTTTCTCCTTTTTTTTTCTTTTTTTTTTTCTTACAGAGGCTGCTCAGTGCCTTCTCTCTTCTTCAGTTCTTCATAGTCTGTATATTTTCTCTCTCTTCTCTCTCTCAAACCCGGAAAGTACTGTTCAATTACAATTTCTCCGTTGGTATTTTTCTGAGGAAAAAACCCCATTAATTGATTTTCCGTTATTGTTCTTCTTTCCTTTCTACTCCCCTTTTGGTGCTCTCTCTGAAGCATTGCTTCAATCTCTCAAAAATCTATTAATGCTTTTTCTCCTACTTCAAACCGCAATTTCCAATTTCTTCTCACTGTGTCTCTTGAATTCTGCAGGTGGGGAGGGGCTCTCATTTTTGCTGAAAAAACGCCGGCCCAATTCGATTTCGATTTTGATTAGTTGATTGATCCCTCTGAGAGAAGTGGGAATTGGGGCTTTGTTGCAGAGGGAAATGAGGGATGTTTTCGTGGCTGGCAAGGATGGCGTCGGCTTGTTGGAAACCAGTGAGGCGGTATGCCCGTATGAACAAGGATGATGAGGAAGATTGCTCATTGGAAGATTCGCTGTTGTGGAGCAGAGAGCTCGAGAAGCACTCGTATGGGGAATTTTCCTTCGCTGTGGTTCAGGCCAATGAGGTAATTGAGGATTGTAGTCAGGTGGAGGCCGGCCGCGACGCCACTTTCGTCGGCGTTTATGACGGCCATGGTGGCCCTGATGCTTCTCGCTTTATCTGTGATCACCTTTTCAAGAATTTAATGAGTGAGTCTCCATGGGTTCCCCCCCTTTCTGACCCCATCTGCTTCCATTTTTCAAAACTCTTTTGATTGCTGCTTTATCTCTTGGTTGATCTTCTTCTACTTGTTCTTTTATTCTCTGAATTCCTGTGTTTGATTCTGAAATCTATGGTTTCTGAAATTGGACTCTTGTATGGAGTTCCTGTTCTATAGGGGATTTGACTTTGTAAAATCTATTGATATGTGCGCCCATTCTAGGGGGTTGTTTGGTCAACTCAACTCAACTCAGTGTTATGACAACGAACTCTCTTGTACATTTCCACAATCGTGTGATATTATATTTACTTTAGGCCTAAATTCACATGGTTTATTTTCCATTCATCAATGGAGATGTTGTCCTTACTTTTCGTACTAACGATCTTCTCTACTTTTAGCTGATGTGGGTGGGACGACGTCGGTATCCCGAAACTCGAGCATTGCCCGATATATAAAAACAAGTAGGTGTTTTGGTAGCCCCCCACCACAGAAAGAATGAAGAGGGTGAATCTGAGGCAATTTTCATTGACCAAACCTAGAGAGGTGTAGAGAGACTTGGTAGGAAGTGTAGAGAGATGGAGAGTACTCAAGAGTGTTTAAAATAGGAGTGTGTGCTAATAGCCTAATGATTGAGAGGTGAGACATTGTTTTTTGTTTGATGAGAGCTTGTACTGAGAGGGAGAGAGGGGGGGTTTCATTTCTTTGAATAGTATAGTAAAAGGCAAAACACATGTTGCCACAATTTCTTTTTCCAAATTTAGAATGTGTTGGAACTTTGAAAATCTCTGAAACCACGTGTGCATCGATGAGATTGTTTCTAAATGATGATAAATGTGAAAAGTAAAACCAAAATAGTAAGAAATAGCGGTTAATTATCCCGTGCTTAGAATTTTATGGCATCATCATTTTAGCATCATGTCTCTAGAAAATTATGAGATTTCTGTTCAACTGAGGTGGATTGCCTCTGCTTTAAACTTTTGTATAATTCCCTTTCTCGATCCGACCCATCAAACAACTACAGTGGTGTGCTAATAATAGCTGCATTTTGTTCATTGTACTATAGGGCTTGCTCAAGAGAACGGAACCATAACCGAAGATATTCTTCGAAGTGCATTTTCTGCAACTGAGGAAGGGTTTCTTACTCTTGTTCGTCGAGCATGGGGAATAAGACCTGTAATTGCAGCAATGGGATCTTGTTGCCTGGTGGGAGTTATTTGGAGAGGTATATTATACGTCGGTAATGTCGGTGATTCCCGGGCTGTTATTGGTTCTTTAGGTAAATCTAGTAAGATAGTTGCAGAACAGTTGACTAGGGATCACAATGCGAGTATCGAGGAGGTTAGACAAGAACTCAGGTCCTTACATCCTGATGACTCACATATAGTCGTTATGAAGCATGGAGTATGGCGTATAAAAGGCATAATCCAGGTATGACATTATCGACGACATTTATAACAACTAGGAAAAGCATCTAGATGGTTTGAACTTGCATGTATGTGCTGGCTTTTCTCTCACTTGCTGCAAGCTATGTGGTAGAATATCATTGATGAACATGCCAAGTAGTTTCAGAAAAGTCGGTCTGTCGGGACGTGCATCAAATACATTGAAACATGTTTCACAGACTAAAAACCAAAGGAAGTGTCAACATTATTCTTAATTCAATAATGAAACTAAAATTATGAACCAGTTGCTAAAGTCAAGTTTTGTTGGAGTCTTCATGAGTGGATAGGAATTTAGTTATTAAAATGTAAATAGAAAATCAATTGGGGTAGAAATGCTTCCTTTTCTTTTGGCTTCCTCTTTTCAGTCACTTCAAACAAATAAGCATTGCTGTTTGTAATTTGTAACTGGAAATGAAAATTTTAAAGGTTAACTTTTGCATGTATTTGGATAGAGTAGTTTCTGATGTGCCCCTTAATTTGGATTTCAATCATGAGATAACTAGTGTTTCGAAATTTGAGTCAATTCCACGCGCTCATGTTGCATTTAGATTTATTCATCTGCTTCTTTTCGGTACCAGGTTTCAAGATCGATAGGTGATGCATATTTGAAAAGGCCAGAGTTCTCTCTTGATCCATCCTTTCCACGGTTCCACCTTGCGGAGCCTCTTCGACGCCCTGTTCTTTCTGCCGAACCATCAGTAAGTACAAGAGTTCTACAACCCAATGACAAATTTCTCATATTTGCATCTGATGGTCTTTGGGAGCATCTAACGAATCAGCAAGCTGTCGAGATTGTGTATAACAACCCACGAGCAGTACGTTACGTTCTGTAGTACTTTAACCTTTTTTCTGTATATGTTCAAAGCATCTATCTGATTGCTCAACTATTTTTGACAAAATCAGGGAATCGCAAAAAGACTTGTCAAAACAGCACTAACCGAGGCCGCGAGGAAGAGGGAGATGAGATACAACGATCTCAAGAAGCTCGAAAAGGGCATACGGCGGTTCTTTCACGACGATATCACAGTTGTTGTCATCTTTCTAGACCATGAACTGCAAGGGAAGAAGGCACATGCACCGGAATTATCCGTTCGTGGGTTCTCCGACACCGTTGGACCGTCGAATTTCAACGTTCTCCGAGGAATCGATGAGAATGGAAGGTCTGCTGGCTGAAGTTACAAGTATTAACATTGAGGGATGAGTCTGATTATAGAACACTCATTTAGCAGCAGGTGTTTACTTGCATCTGGGTTTGGGACTTTTTTGAAACATTTGGTTGATTTGTTGTCAGCTTCTTCTGTGTCCTTTTTACTCAAATTCCTTGTATGCAGAAAGTTTTAAGTTTGAGGTTCTTTGTCTTTGCTTTCTGATTTGCTCATTCTATAGCCACAACTCTTTACAAATGCTGTGACTGAATTCATTTTGATTTGAATAAATTTATTGGCATTGGGGTTTCAGCTTTGTTCATAATGGAATTGGCTGTAAATTTGAGTTAAATTTGCCAAATTTCTGAATGTTTGATTTGCAATTACAGCATCATTCCCACTAATTTTTTTGCATATATTTTTCATATCAAGACAATCACAGCATTTATAATGTATTAATTGACATCATTATCATTTGAGATCCATCATAAATGACTATAAACTATTTAGTTAACACCATTAATGAAATGAAAATTTTGCCACGTAATTTCACATCATCATTTAAGACGACAATCAATTTTTTTCTGAGAATGGACAACTTTTTAAAATTATTTTGTTTTCAAAATGTAAGAATTGACCTAAAAAAAACGCCTTCGACGTGCTAAATTTTTTCAAAAATTTCAAACTCAATCAATCCAAATCAATGATAAATGATAATACAGCTTCCCTACAAGAAAATGGAAACGGTAAAAAAAATGGAACCTTGAATGCTATTGGTTTGCTTCCATGTTCAATGTTCCAGCAGCAAAACAAAAGAAGAAAAGGAAAAAAGCACAACGAAATAACCATGAACAAAGAATGGTGAAACAAAACAAAATCGAGAAGGAAAATAAGCAACCACTTGATAGAAAGCTCTTCCATCTGTAGAAAATAACATGTATAGTATAAGTTCCCCTTTCCACCTTCTTTGCTTCTGTAAATCAGAAGCATTTCCTGTGGACAATCGATGGCCCAGATTCATCATATTCTGCCTTAGCAATCCACATCTGCATTGAATGAGAGAAGATTGTGTTTAGTCAAGAATTTCGATGGTAGATCAAAGAATTATTAACTAGATACCACTTTCAAGATCATAACACGAGCGGTCAGTCTAGTCTAAAGTCACATACTAATCAAAAAAAGTTCTAAAGTTTTATATATCAAAGTGTTCAAACTAGCTTGCAGCTTGCACCATATTGACTAATCTCATAAAATAACTGTCCAACTCTGTAATATTTGGTAGTCAAGAAAATTTGTAGAATTTTAATATTTTAAGTATATATGAGCGCATTTTAACATTAATGTAACTAATGTTTACCTGTTGGAAAGTGCTGAGGGAAGCTAAAATTGAGCCTCCAATCCACACACTGTACTTTCTTTCAGGTGGTGCTACCACTTTGATCTTCATGCTACTAGGAGCCAATGCAGTGATCTCCTTGCTCATCCTATCAGCAATACCAGGGAACATGGTGGAACCACCGCTGAGGACGATATTGCCGTAAAGATCCTTTCTAATATCGACATCACACTTCATGATAGAGTTGTAAGTGGTTTCATGAATACCAGCAGCTTCCATTCCGATCATGGATGGCTGGAAGAGGACTTCAGGGCATCGGAACCTTTCAGCACCAATGGTGATCACCTGTCCATCTGGTAGTTCATAGCTCTTCTCCACAGAAGAGCTGGTTTTTGATGTCTCGAGCTCTTGCTCATAGTCCAGGGCTATGTAGGCTAGTTTCTCCTTCACGTCTCTCACAATTTCCCGCTCGGCGGTGGTGGTGAAAGAGTAACCACGTTCAGTCAAGATTTTCATTAGAGCATCTGTGAGATCACGGCCTGCCAGGTCCAAACGGAGGATGGCATGTGGGAGGGCATACCCTTCGTAAATTGGAACTGTGTGGCTGACACCATCACCAGAATCCAGAACGATTCCTACAATTTCAAAATAAACCACAAGTTACATGAGCACCAAAAGTATGGCACCATAGAATTTTCATTTAAAAGGTATCCAACATAATTCCTAAGCCTACAGAAGACACTAAGAATACAAACATCAACAGAGGAACTTTTTACATCAATTGAGGTGATCCTTGGTCAACGAAAAGATTGAAGTTTAAACAAATCAACCAAGATAATACGTCTGGTTCGAGAGAAAAAGAAAGGGAGATCGGCATTATAAGAGTCAGAAATAGACAGAATGAAAATAGGATCCGACATACTTCATATGATAAACTTTACTTCCTTATGTTTGTGTATGGAGGAAGTGGGCAAAAGGGGTGGTTATTCATTACGAAATTGTGTATCGTGCATGAACATTTTAAGGTCAACTGAATCAGAAAACTATATAAGATGCACCTCTGTTTACACAAAGTTAGTTTTCATCCATCTCCTTAATGAAAAAAGGTAATAGATCTGCTTACCGGTTGTACGACCACTGGCATAAAGGGAAAGGACGGCCTGGATGGCAACATACATAGCAGGGGTGTTGAAAGTCTCAAACATTATTTGGGTCATTTTCTCTCTATTCGCCTTGGGATTCAAGGGTGCTTCTGTGAGAAGAACTGGATGCTCTTCTGGAGCAACTCGAAGCTCATTGTAGAAAGTGTGATGCCAAATTTTCTCCATATCATCCCAATTGCTAACGATACCATGCTCAATTGGGTATTTTAGAGTCAAAATACCTCTCTTCGACTGAGCCTCATCACCCACATAGGCATCCTTTTGGCCCATACCGACCATAACACCAGTGTGTCGGGGGCGACCAACGATGCTAGGGAATACAGCCCTTGGAGCATCGTCTCCAGCAAATCCAGCCTACAGATAGCATCAGCAATTGTTGCAAATTATAAACAGTGACAATAATAGGAAAAGGCGACATATTCATTGCTAATGGAAAAACACAAAACAGAACAAAAATTCCCCAGCGTGGTGTAACTGTACTGGGAGGTTCATGGATGTCGCATCAATACCTTGACCATTCCTGTTCCATTATCACAAACGAGAGGCTGAATATCCTCGGAATCTGCCATTTTCAATTGACTGCAGCAGAAAAGCACCAATTATTGCTAAAATTCAGATAAAAATTACTGAGATCATCCGCCAGATCAAGCATCTGATGTGTTATAAAGATTCATTTAGAAACAACATTCGCCACAATAAGATTCTTTTCGGGTAGAAAATATCATATCGTTCGAACTTAATCGGATGTCCCCGAAGGGATTAGAAAATATCATATCATAACTTTTAACAGGCGCTACATTCAAACGCAATGAAAAGCTAAAAATAAATACGCAATATAGGCAGCTAATTTCAACCGCCCGATCCAATTCTACGCACCCGCAATAGAAAGAATAAACCAAAAAAACGAAAACTATGAACAAATCACCACAAAAAAATTTATCGATCACAATTTATTTGCTTACATTAATCACATAATTCAACATAAATTTCCAAATGACAGAAACAATCCAATCTACCGCAATGCGAACATAAAAACAGACATGAACAACACAATTCAACATACAATAATCGTGAAATTTTGCTCAATCATCATTTCTAAGCTGATATAAATCACAGATTCCAGCAGCATTTTCCAAGTAACAAAAGAAATCCAATCTAAACACATGCGAAAAGTAAAACAGACATGATCGACACAATTCAACATACAACAAACGAATCACCGCAAAAAATTTCCTCGATCATCATTTCTGAGCTGATATAATCACGTAATCCATCCGAATTTTCCAAATAATAAAATTAGTAAAAATAATAATCTAACAAATTGCGAAAATGAAAACAGACATGATCCACACAATTCAACGTACAACAAACGAATCACCGAAAAGAATTTCCTCGATCATCATTTCTGAGCTAATATTAATCACGGAATCCATCATCATTTTCCAAATAACCAAAAAAAAAACAACCTAAACACAAAGCGAAAATGGAAACATACATGATCAACACAATTCAACATAAAACAAACGAATCACCGCAAAAACTGTGCTCAATAATCATTTCTGAGCTGATATTAATCACGGAACATCAACATTTCTCAAATAACAAATAAAATCCAATCCAAACACAATGCGGCAATAAAAGAAGGCATGATCGACACAATTCAACATACAATAACACGAAGACGAGATCAAACAGTCGCKCATCCGGGATTCAGAATGTCCTCCTCCGAGAAAATCAAAATCAAAACAAAAACTAGAAGAAACGATTGAAGATACCTTGGATATCAAAAAGGAGCGTGCTCTGAAACTGACGGGGGTGGCAACGGACCGAGTCGAATGGCGCAGAAAGAAAGAAAGAAAGAAACTACCCGCCCCCTCCCTCGCTTTCTTGTTTTTAAAAAGGAATGCAAAAAAGCAAATCAACCCCCATCATTACATTTCCGCAAATCCTGGCCGTCTATTTGGAATATCTGATCTACGGTCTCTATGACGCGTCACATTCTCGTTGGATCCAGCTGTCTAACTTTTCGGTCATCGCCTTCCTCCTGGACGTTTATGCCCTTCACATCGGACGATCCTCACGTCTCGTTGACCAGGGGTACATTCGGAAGTTAATAAATTGAAATAATATTATTGCATTAGCTAATATTCTTCAAATAAATAACTTTTAGACTTTTGGGTTTTCGTTTATTTTTAATTTCTGATTTTTAAATACAAATTAGCTCGATCTTAAAATAGATTTTTCCACTCAAATATTTGTAATTCTTTTACATTATTATTAATAATTCGGATTTAGATTATCACAAACATCCTATAGAGTAAATATTCTATACCACAAAAAATAGAAGAGCATGTTATTTATTTATTTTACTTATATAATCCATTGAGTTCGTTAATTTTAAATTGAAATTTTATTTTCACCAAATTTGAACTTGATAAGATATTAAATTAAATATTTTCCTCCGAGTCAAGCTAAACAGTTTTTAAACATCAATCCGTAAATCGCTCTAAATCATCCCAATAAACACACAAAATCTAACCATATAAAAATGTTAAAATTCAGCGAAAACAAACTCACACTACTCTAAAAATAAATAGAAAAAAAATACAATTGTCCCATAATTAAAAAAAAAAAGTAATATAAAGTATATTGTAATATTTATTCGAGCTTCGAGCTCAATTTAATGAAATTGAAATTTTGGACAGTCCACTGATAAGTTCAATTTAATAAAATTGAGATTGATCTCGGCCTATAATATTTTATACATTAAACAAAGTTTATAAAACTAACTTTTATATATTATATGATGACTTTTTTTTCATTTTATTAACATTTTTTCCGGTTTAACAAGGAGATTTTAAACTTAAAAGTAATGTCTTAACAGTTGAATTATATGCTAGTGTCAGTGCTAATAAACAAATTAAGTAAACTGAGTTTATTAAAAGTTAAAATGATGTACCCAACAACGAACACAAGCCATGTTCTTGTCCGTAAGTCAATACAACAAATCAAATGAATCGAGCGTATTAAAAAGTTAAAACTATGAACCAAATATCCTTTTAAGATTAATTATGATTCACCCAATAGGTACATGAGTATAAAATTATTTTTTCTAAAATATTAATAAGGATTTTTTTTAGTAATGTAATTAAAAAAAAAAACAAAATAGGGTAGTTTACCCCATAAGTACATGAGTATAAAATTATTTACCAAACATCCTTTTAAGATTAATTATGATTGACCCAATAAGTACATGAGTATAAAATTATTTTTTTCCATAATATTAAAAAGGATTTTTGTAATAATGTAATTAAAAAAGCAAAAATAGGATAGTTTGAAAAATAATTCCAAATGTAGGGCAACTCTACATGATTTAGCGAACTCACCGTCTATTGGGCACGAATTGTACGCGGTTTCCTTGCGACGTAGCTCCAACTTGTCTTGTTTAGGAATGACAACAGGGCAGAGTTAAGGGATCATCCTCATCCCCGCCCCATTCTTGAAATTTCGGAGGTGGGAACGAGGCGGGGATTCCCCATTATAAATATATTTTTTTAATTTTTGTCATTGTTGATATAAAAAGTGGACAAAAAGTGGTTAAATCAGATATTATCTTGAACTTTTTTAATTAAAAAGTATTTATAAAATTAATATATGTTAATACTATTATATAAAAAATAGAAAAAATAATAAAATATAAAACGGGATCGTGCCGTGACGACCTCGATTGGATCTCCGATTTGACCCCGTTCCGGATCAAATCGGAGATTCTCCGAACCGATTGGGTCGGATACCCGCATATTTTTTTACCATCCCTGATCTTGTCGGAGCCACGCATTTTGCCACGAAACTCGTGTGCACCCAAAACCAACACCACCTCTTCTCTTCCTCATTTTGAACTCTAGCTTCCCATCCTCGCCGCCCACCCCATCTCCTCCCAGCTTCACTGCCACGGTTCGCGGCCGTCTCTATCGCTCCACCAGTTGTTGCCGCTAGGGCTTGTTAATGCTAAGAAAAAAAAGGTATCTTGATTGTTTTATTTATTTGTTTTTCGAAATGGCCCTAGTAAAAAGGTGATCTTTTTATTAACAAAAATAATAACTATAGTTGCTTTGTATAATTGTTGTTATAATTTTTCAAATTCATTTATTCTTTTCAATTATATTTTGTTTTAATATGTCATAATTAATTTTAATCAATCAATAAAATTGATTTCACCAATTTTCTAATTTTTCAGTAAATTAAATTTAAGTAGAAGCTTAACAATTCTTTCTCAAATTTTGGAAATCATATTTTACCCAATTTTGAAGGTTTTATTGTTTGTTATGCAGTCTGTTACGTTACACGTGCGTTCACACGCACACGCACATAGAAAATATAAATATTTAGATATCAAATCTATCTAGACTCTATACGTAAAATAGAGAATTATAATAGAAGAATGATATTAACTTGTTTTTGCTTGTAAATATATTATTGAACTTTGGAATCATTTTTTGTATATGACAAATATATATATATATGAACCCATTTTTTAAAAAAAATTATAAAAACCTTTTCTTCTTCCATTTCATAAAATCATAATAATTATTATTTATTTTTAAATAATAAATATTATTTTAAATTTTTATGTGAACTATTAGTATTTAGTGTATTTACTAGTTTAAATAATTAATTCTTAAAAACTTTTTAATTCATGTCGGGATTAAGTATTATTATTATTATCTTTAAAATTATTATTATTTTTCTTTTTATTTTTAGAAAACAGGTGGGGCCAAAATGCAAAGGAAATTGTGGGTGGGAAGTGTGCAAAAAGGAAAGATTACAACCAAGTCCTTTTACTTTTAATGTTGGCCTATTTAGTATAAAGTTTCGGGGAGTAGGGAGATACATTAATCACTTTATTTTTTAAGCATCTAACTAGTGTCTATTTTGATTTTTTATTTTTTTAATCTAATTTTTACCATCACAATTTTAGTAACACAATTTGCTAATTAAATTTATTAAAATATAGTCATAAATTTATAAAAAGCTTTTCATCCACAAAGAGGGACCAAAATGATTGTTTTTTTATAAATACATGAACTAAAATAGACATTTTGGGAATATAAAAATTAAAATAAACAAAAGTAGAAAGTAATGGATCAAAATAGACGTTCTAAAAATAACAAGAATAGTATTTAAACTTAATTTTTACTTGTAATTTTAGGTTGGATATTACTGTTTGTTTGTGAAAAAATCTTATTTTGATGATTAGTCTGCTGAAATTCAAAGTATGAGAATCCCCGTATGTATTTTTCTAAAATTCAAATCTCCCTACTCAGGAACTCAAGTTTAATTTAAATGGTTGTCAATCTGAATACAGCTAATTGTTTAAGACATATTTTTACCAAAATGTCACGAGTTCAAATCTTTAAGTTCAAATATCAACTCACCTAATGTTGAACTTTAAAAGATCCATATATTTCTTATTCCCAAGGTAAACCTTATAAGAAAAATAAAAAGGTTAAATTACAAATTTAGTCGCTAAATTTTTAGAGTTGTATGAATTAATCCTAAACTTAAAAAAAATGTCAAATAGGTGAATTTTTAATTTTGTGTCAAACAAGTCTTTGTTGTTAATAACCTGTCAAACTCGTGCTTATGTGGCTCACTGTGTGTACTATTTTAAAATTCCATGACTATGATGTGTAGAATGAAACTTACCAAATGAGATAAATATAAAAAGCAAAGATAAAATAATAATAATAATAAATAGTTAATTTACAAATTTAGTCATGAACTTACATTATTATATCTAATAACTTTTAAAATTATATCTAAGAGATTCATAAACTTCAATTTTATGTCTTGTGATCCCTGCATAGGATTATTGGTGATAGTACGTCATTTCCTTCCCTTTACTTCACTGGTTTGTTTTGATTTATTTTGGTTACCTTACTTTCTCAAAATTTTGCTCTAGAACTCACTTCCTATTTCCTTCCCTCCTTACTGGCCTCAAGTTTTCAAAAATGTGCCCTAGATCCACTCCCAATTTCCTTTACCCATTTCCCTACCCAAAATTTTGAAAATTTACCCTAAATTTACCTTAATGGCAAGATTTATTTGACACGTCATAGTCATGTAATATTTAAACAGTATCACCAATGTGCCATATAGGTATTAAACAAATTTGACAAAGTTAACGACTGACAGTAGGACTATAGGGGTGTTCAAAAACCCGACGAACCCTTACAGTTTGGATTGGGTTAGATGAAAGCATTGGATTGTGTTGAGTTGTGATTTTTCCAACCCGATCGGGTTGGATCAAGTCTCGGGTTCAACCTTTAAAAAAGCGGGTCAACCCAACCCAACTCAACCCGAATTTATGCATATATGTGTATTTTTATTAGTTATATATATAATAATATCTTTGTTTAACCATCCATTTAGTGTTAATCCTAGTCCCTATTATCTTCTTCCATTTTGTATCTTAATTTCAATAATGCATGAAGTTTTAATCCTAACTCTTCGTCGCCGTCGTAATAATTAAAAAAAAAAAAACACAAACTGACAATTCAAATTCGACACAAACTGACAATTCAAATTCGACGGTTTTTATATATCATCAATCCGAAAATTTTCAACTTGTGAATACCCTTAATATACACTTAAATAACCTATTTAAAATTTTTTAAAGTTCACAACGAATAGATTTATAATTTAACTAAAGTAAAATGTTTGGGTGAGGTCAAGTCTACGGCTACTAACTATGAGCCCGAAACTACCCCCGACTGATGGCCGCCTTCATTCACTGCCTGGACTTGGAGGAGCAGAAGAAAATTTCACGATTGCTTCCGTTTATCACCGGGCTCCATCACTGTTCTTCTTGCTCACTGGAGCCTCCATTTGGGATTTTAATTGTTTGGTTTCCAGATGATGAACGGTGGCGGCATCAAAACGGCGCTCCTCAACTCCAAAACCGATTGTTTTGGGTTCAGAACCGCTTTCTTTCACTCTACGCCTGTCCTTGACCGCAAAAGACGCAATCATTGGGACTCTGTGAGTTTCTTTTCTGATGCATGCTTGAATTCTTAATCTTGCATGGTCTGTGGTGCTTGATATATATGTACAACTGTAGTGCGGATGGGACCAGACCTTTTTACTGGGATTTTGTTTCGAAAACATATGTTACATTGTTCAAATTAGTATGTTTTCTGGCCTCTTTTTCCCATCTCCTTGAAACTGCAGATTTTTCATATTGGGTTTGAAAATTCTGTTTTGTATTTGGATTCTCGAGACGGAGAATTTGGTGAATCTAGGTCGAAATGGTTATAGTTTTGGTTGGCAAAAGTTTGTTTAATAGAATGGTTTCTTAGACCAACACAACTTAAAAACAGTAGACTACAAAAAATCAATACCAATATAAAGCTTCCAATTCCCTATAGCATTCAATCACCAGCTGCGAATTCTAGCTAATGAACACCTTAGAACAAGTTGAATGTAAGGACCTATAGTTATTAATCAAGAAACAAATAAGTTGCCACTGGCAGCAAGTGGGTGATGCGGGCACCAGCATACTTGATTCCCTTTTAGTAATTGTTAATACCTTTAATGTTCCGTCAAATCATACGGAGGATTACTATCACATAAATATGTAAAATCGCATTTGTTGATTTTAAAAGGACAACTATGACCTACTTGAACAGGATTATAAGTTGTACAACTGTGTTCTTGAGTTCTAAGGAGACAAGAATTAAAATTTGGTGGAGGAACCACTGCCGTATCGTTCTTGGTAAGGCTTGTCCTGCTGGGATGGTCGCATGGCAGCCTGACAGACTCTTAAATAGAAAAAGAAGGGACAACTCAACTTCCTCATCCTTGTTGAATTTGCTGAATAATGTTAGCTGCAGCTTTGCTTGCAGGATATTCTGTGTGACGTAGTAGGATTTAGTTAATTATATACTGTTGTTGAAGATTGTTGTTTTTCCTATTGGCTCGTAATTGAGTTTAGTTTGTAGACATCCTTTATAAATAGAGGAGGATAGTGTCTTGCATTTTGGAACTTTTAAACTTCTGAATATTTTAATATGGATTTTTTTTCTTATTTTGAAATCTTTCGGAATTTCCGATACTAGTTGAATATGATTAGTGCAGATCACAGCAGGTTTTTAGAGTGTCTTGTGTACTTATAAATAGATTCTACTGTTTCAATGAACAAAAGAAAAAAAAAGGACTTGTGTATACCCTATTGCCGTTTAAAGGTAACAACTCTGTGTCTGTCTCATTTTTATACGGAAGAGAACCTATGATGGAATAAGGATGTTCTTTTGAATGGCATAATTGTCCAATTTATCCCTCAATTTTCCAAGAAGATTGATTTCCCCAACATCCTTTAGGATTGGATCATTATTGGTCCATTGACTATTGTTAGGATTTAAGATTTAAAATGTTATCTGCATGGTTAGAGTAGTAGCAAGGTAGTAACCTAACAGTTGTAACAAAACCTATAAATTCTGGTTCATGATGCAATGTCAACCTTTCAATAAATAGGACACTGCTCTGTTAATTTCTACAACAGTAGTTTAACGTTTTCATATTCTTTTCAGCTTATCGGTGTTACTTGTTAATATAACCTGGCCACTAACTAGTTACAACGAAAATCCTTGCATTGAACCTCTTGATTCTATATGTTGAACTAATATTTTTACACTTTTCTGCAGAGATGCAACCATTATACAAAGAGTTATAGAAGGATTAATGCAAAACAAACATTGCTGCGCAATGTCAGTGCCTATGCTGACTTCCTCTTTCAGGTTGCATTAGTTGCCCTGTTAACTTCATTGCTCAAGTCTTTTCCATTATCATGCTTTCTCTTTCATGAACAATCATATTATTGTATATGGTCCTTGTCCCTTGGACAATGTCGGATATAAATAGTGAATGTAAAGGGCGTTAAGCCTGCGAGCTGCCATAAGCATTGTATGGTTCTTTGAATATAATTTATGCCCAGGAAGATCTTCTTTATATATCTTTCCTCTTTCCTCTTTTTACATTTCTGATTTTGAAGATGTTCCATAATCCTTAATGGATGAGGATTTTAGGTTGCATAAGGAGAAGAGTCTTGGGAATGGGTCTTTTAGAGGTTCCTTGTCCAACCGTTGATCATGATAAAACTCATGGAAGAGCCATTACCAATGGAACTTATAGCTCTTGTCCGAATGATGCTTAGTTGTCCAATAATGTTCCTCCATAAACCCTTGGATGATGGCATGGGAGGGTTGCTTTGCTGGCCATGTATCTGTAGAAGTAAAGCCATATTTTGCAACAATTACTCTTCTCCAAAGAGCATCCTTTTTCATGATGTATCTCCAAATCCATTTCCCAAGTAGAGAGCGGTTATTTTGTTTCAGGTTACTGGTGTTTAATCCTAAGATAGGAATTGGAACCTTTCTCCAATTAACCAAATGTGAGCCCTTCTCCATCTTTTCGTGTTTCCATTGAGAGATTCTATGAAGCATTTTAATGGCTTTGATAACTGAATTGGGTCCTTTCATTTCTTCCCAATCAAAGTTGGTTTTCATTTCTTCCCAATCAAAGTTGGTTTTCTCAATTAAAAAAAGAAAAGAAAAAAGAATTGGGCACGTCAAAAAGCGTCATGCAGGAAGGTTTAAAAGTGCTGCTTGTGTAATAGTTAACTGTCCACCTTTGGAAGTTCCTCCATTTATGTAGCTTGTTATCTGAAAAAGGTAGATTCGTGCTTTCCACCAGGTGAGGCCCCATTGTTTAGGCCAAAATCCCACCTTGCATCCAAAGGAATTGACATATGGTTTGAGAGAAGATTCGACCACGTTCAACCTAATTAGCTTTGGTCTACAAAACTTGATGCCTTCTCAAAGATCTTGATGACATTAAATAGGTTAAGGACACCTACTTTGTCATAGGTTGAGAATAGAATTGCATCATCTACAAATTGAGGGTGATAAATAGATAGAGATGAATTTCACAAAATAAATCCCCTTGTGTTTCCACATTAAGAGCTTTGTAAGAGAAGTCTATTGAAACAATCTAGGACATCGATTAAGAGAATCGGTGAGAGTAGATTATCTTGTTTGTACTAGAGATACAATATCCGAATCCATTTTTTCTATAGCTGGTCAAAGCCGTCGGCATGAAATACTGCATCCAGTAAAGTACTAGCGATGCAATGTCCTAATCCATTTCTTCTATAGCTGGCCAGCCTTTGGCATGAAGGACTGCATCCAGAAAATCCCGATCAATTTTGTCAATAGCCTCTTCTAAGTCAAGTTTGATAAACAAGTCCTCATTCTTTTCCATTTATCAATAAATTCATTGGCAATAACAGAAGTATCTGTCTGCATTCTGCAATTTACCAAGGCTGTTTGAAATTTGGAGATGAAATCCTTGTCTGTTGTTATATAAAGAAAAGTTTGGAGATAGTGGATGGAAGTACCAATTTGAGTCTTTCTGATCTTGTAAGCACAATGGGTAAGACAGATGGGCTTGTCATCATGAACTGTTTTTGCATCGATCTTCTTTGGAATGAAACATATGCATGAGACTTGCACTAATAGTATCATTCCAAAAAGAATCCTGGACATCTCCATCTGTCATTTTTTAGGATGTTCCAAGATTTTCTTTAGGAATTCAATTGTAAAGTCATTCCCGGGTGCCTTGTTGGGCCCCAAAGAATTTTCAGCCAGGAGAATCTCTCTTCACCAAAATCAGCTTTCGATACTTTGCTCATAGGAGATAGGGTCCCATTGAAGATTACCTGGAAGAGTAAAGGGCTTGCTTCCTTAGTGTAGAGTTATTCATAAAATCCTATGAATTCATGTTCTATCTCTGAACTGGTGAGGTGGCTGTTCCTTTTCCGGATAGGATCTCAAAGACGAAGATTTTCCACTTTTTTTATACTAGAATACGGTAGACGAAACTAGAGTTTTCATCACTTCTTTAAGCCATTTCAAAATCAGCTTGGTTAATTTGACAAGTCTTCTCAGCCACGGTTCCAGTTTTTGAACGGCCATTTGCGTGGCTTAATGTTGTTGGACATTTGTGTTAACCAACGTCTGCCTCTTAACGATCTTGGAGGTCCTGATCATGAACTTCAGAACATTGTATTGACCAGAATTATATTAACTATGCTTTTAATTTCAAAAGGACTTTTGCGTCATCCTTATAGCGTTTCTTTTGGAGTTTCAGAGTTGGCACGATGAGAGTGAAGCGAATGATCCTTCCTCGAGCAGAGGCACCTCTTGGTTTAAAAGGCAGTACTCATTGAGGGGCTCTAAAAGAGACAGGACCAACCAGAGACCACGGTGTTGGAGCAGAAGTAAGTAACATCTTTATTGCATATCTTCAATAACTTGAACGTATATTAGAACTCTGTTTTTTAATGGACAATTCAAACTGTGTACACTTTTACCATCTAGAAGCTGAAGCCAGAGTTAGAAACCATAATTGTTCGCAAGAAAAAGGACTATTGAGGCATGAATTGCAACTCTCGGTTTCATTTTACAAATTTTTAGAAAATTATTCCCTTTAAAGTTCTAGGCCATGTATTTTTCTGGATAAGATTCTAAGCCACGTCTTTTAGACTGTGTTTGCCATGACTATAAAGTTTAAAGTGATTTTTTTTTTCCCATTTTTTCCCTCTAAATCTAGAGTGTTCGTTTTCCAATAAAAATCACTTTTTAAAATGATCAAATTAGTTTGAAATCATTGTCGAAGAAACATTTAAAAATTGATTCTCCAAAAAGTGATTCTAAAGTGTGAATGATTGCCGATCGGGACTTTATGGTAAGTTGACATGTAGAATCACTTTTAGATCCAATGCAAGCAACTTTCAAACTTGTGATTAAAATCCCTTTTTAAAGTTGCGCAAGTATTTTAAATTACAATTAACTAAGTAGGGGTGATCACGGTTCGGTCTGGTTCGATTTTAGGGCTGAACCGAAACCGAAACCGAAACTGAATATTCAAAAAAGAAAAAGTTCAAACTGCACCGAACTGCATGTCTCATACGAACCGAGCCGAATATGCGGTTCGGTTCGGTTTCTGCGGTTTTTGCACTGGTTGGGCGTGCTTCTTGTGGGCCTTGCAACAAAAATTGAGATTGTATCGGCGGCAGAGATGGAGGAGGTGATTGGCAACGCTGGTACAACGGAGGTGGAGGATCGAAGGTGGTGGCTGGCAATGGCGGAGTCGAATGTAGTGGTGACGACAACGGTGACAAGGATGAGAGAGAAGTGTGAAGGAAATAATCAAAAGTTTTTTAAGAAAAAAAAGAAGAGATGAATAATGGAGAAGGAGAAGTTGAGTCTAAGAAAGAAAGAGAAGTGTGAAGAAAGTAATCAAAAGTTTAAGAAGGAAATGAAGAATGAAGAAGGAGAAGTTGAATCTGAGAAAGAAGGAAGAAGAAAAAAACGAAGGGAGAGTTAGGAAGAAACCCTAACTTAATAAAAGAAAGAATTCACAAAAAAAAAGAAGGAAAGAAAGTAGCTAACTTAACTAAAATAATAAGATTAAAAAAGTTAAAAAATTAAGAAAGGTGTGGTTTTACTTTTGAATGATTGAAAAGGAATTAATTGATTTGTGATATGATTACCCACTGCCACCACAATAAATATATCAGAAAATAGGGAGGCGTGCACGGCTGGCATGTCAAGGGAGGCTACAGCTGTAGGCATGCTTCTTCTTTTTATTAAATATATATATATTCGGTTCGGTTTTTTAGCGGTTTTCAACCTCTAAAACCGAAACCGAATCGAATTTGCGGTTTGACCATTTCATTTAACCGAACTGATCTATAAAACCGCAAAACTGAAAATTCGGTTTGGTTTCGGTGCAGTTTTTAAATTTTTTCGGTTTTGTCGGTTTGGTTGTGCACCCCTAACACTGAGGAAGGTGGTGCCAGTATTTCTATTTTAGATCTACTTTACCATTATATATATCATGCTACATGCGCTCCTAAGTTTCCTTTATTCCATAATTGTGTTAGATGGAGATCCAAGCTTGTTTGGAATATCATTTTCAAAATAGTTTCTCTTTTAAGAATTATGATCAAATGACCCTGAAACGGTTAATGTCATTTTGGATATTGAAAATGGAAATCACTATTCACAAATCCTTGATTTGGAAAATTAAATTAGCTCTCATTTATTCTAAAAAAGACAAGTTGTCCTCGAGGCATGTTAAAGAGAGAGAAAAGAAGAAGAAACTTTTGGAAAACAATTATCCAAACATTGTTTCACAAATTTTTTTTTCTTCAAATTCTTCACCAGATTTTGAGTTTACCGAAGATGATCCCGATGTTGAGACCGTCTTCCGATCTGCATTTGGTGGGAATCGGTTTTACTATTGGTCTTTCATTAATGAAGAGAATCCTCAATGGAGGAGCTCAACAAATTACTCAAATAACTATGGGAGATCCTGGAGCTGGCGAAATCGGGTCGATGAAGACTATGATGACTCTTCTAATGAATACGAGGATTCAGAGGCAAATTTGGTGACGCATAGGCTTGCTCTCGGACTAACAGCGTCTGGTCCACTCAAACTTGAAGATGTTAAAAAAGCGTGAGATTTCTTTTGGGTTTTGGTCACTTTGCTTCACAGTGATGTAGCATATTTAATCTTCCTTGTCTTGTCATTGAATAAGAGTTGCTATAGGCTTTCTTTTGATTTTTTTTTTCCTTTTTTCTTTTTTCATTTCAGGTATCGAACGTGTGCACTGAAATGGCACCCAGATCGTCATCAAGGATCCTCCAAGGTAGTTCCCCCCTCCCCTTTGGCATGTCTGATATTGGAAAAGAGATTTGAAATAACATTGGTTTGAGCAATAAATATTTGACTCCTATTTGCATCGGGTTATAACCATTGGTGCAACGGTTGCTAGAGACTGGTTATGTTAAACTTAAACTCATCAATATGCATAAGCCCGACTAATCAATGCACTCGATTGTAGGCAGTGGCGGAGGAGAAGTTCAAACTTTGCAGTGTGGCATATCAATCCTTGTGCGACAAGTTGGCAGTAAATTAGTAAATTAAGGAAGGCATCTTCTTCTTAACCCTCATCTCCATCCAACATATCGCAGTTCATTTAGGACGTTGCCATACAAGTATGAACCTTCTTTCTTCCCATCTTGATCTCAACAATTTTCTTGATATCATGTTTGAGTTGTCATATCTGAAGTTTTGGTTTTTCTACTCTATTCATTATTGTCAAGTGCCTCGGGTTCCGACTGTTTTAATTGACAAGAGAACTATCTATTGTGTCGTTTTAGATGTGAGAGCATCCATAATTATAGTCTTGCTAGTATTCATCTGTAAGAATTGTAAAAGTTGCAGTTGTCTGTAATTGTATCGAACTTGTTAGTTTCTAACATGTATGAGACTCTGAAATAAGAATATTATGGAAAGTACACCTCTAGACATTAGATATCACACCTTTGCTTCTCTAATGGTGTGTAATTCTTCAGTTGAAGTTGAAAAAGGAAGGATCTTGCCAGTAAACAGAATAAAGTGAAATATGTTAGAAATTCCTTTTTGTTTTGAAAATTTCGAAATATATCGAAATCCAAAAGGCCTTGAGAAAGAGCAGATGTATAGATGTAGTCATAATGAATCGTTTAATTTTTTATTCAGTGAAATCTAGTAGATTTTGTATATCAATCTGTTGTAAATAAATGGTCTTATCTGAGATCTATTGTGGTCTCGAAACTATATTGAATGAATTTCTTTACTATAGAATGAAATATGGAAAGTTATTAGTTTTAGTACGTAGACCAAATGTGCGTGCAAAAGTTCTTAGATTCAAGCTTGTGATATTAATAATCTTGAATGTTATTAGTACGATGTTCTAAGATTTGTACGACGAGGGCATTTTGTAATGACTTTTTTGTCCTCTATATCTTCTATATATATTTGTCTTTCATCAAAAATTTTCTCTCATTTTTATTTTATTTTAAAAATAAATCAATGCATTTTTCTTTGATAAATGACTATAACAATTATATATTACATTTAGATATTGAACAAACTTTAGTCTAACTATATACTATCTAAACTTATTTTTAATTGAAATTAGTGTGCAATGTTTTATTTATTTTAAATTTTCAATTGTAACTCAATGTAAACTAAATTGATATAAAATATAATATTAAATTAATGAAAACAAATTTATTGTATAAAATTATATTTCTTAAACAATATTCGAGCACAGAATTACAGTGACATTTATTTTCAAATTTTCAAGTAAAAATCTTGCAAAAACAAAAATAACTATCTAAATATTTTTAAACATCTTTATAAATGCAAATTGAAGCATGGTTCAACGAGTTAAGACATTTATTTCCAACTAAAAAATATTCCTCATGTTGTACTAAGTAAATGTTGCCGAGAGATATGTTTATCAATAAATGATTTCCTACAGTATTAAAAATTAAAATTAGTTCCTAGTGATTTTTTGTTCTAATTTTTATCCTTATAACATTTCCTACTGATTTCTTTACATCTAAAAGTTACATATTTGAATTTTAGAAAAATAGAATTCTTCTCGCAATAGTGAAATCATGTATTAAAAAATGATTTTATTAAAAGAATAAACATAATTTCAACCAAATATTCGTTGGATGTAAAGACAATGCAAAGTACAAAATTGGTCTAAAATTGTCCATAAATAATTGTATATTCTATCTCTCAAAAAAA